AGGTGGGGCACCAGAAGTTTTTTACCATTGTGCCAGGATCAAGCATCTGGGCATCGATCTTAACAAAGAGAGAAAAATACGAAGGTTAAGTGACAAAGCTCCAAAGCTTGCCTGACTTTGAGCTATATATTCAAAGTTCCGCTTTGAGAAGGAAATAAACTAGCACCTTTCCTGCCAAGGCAATCCATTAATTAGCAAACAAGCACAAACAGGAGAAGAAGAAGAAACCAAAAGAAAAATGGGAGCTTACCTTACTACTCGGCCTCTGAGTCGGAGCTGGATTCTCCAGCGTTTGCGTCTTTCGCCTTGTCCGCCTCCTCCACGCCTGGCTCTTTCACCGCCTTGTCCTTCTTTTGCTTCTTCTTTTCTTTCTTCTTTAGCCTCTTTGCCCTCCTCTTGGCCGTTCGCTCCTCGGCCTCTTTGAGCCGGGCTTCGCGACGAATCGCAAACTCCGTCTGCTCCTTCTTCCTCTGATAATCCGCCTCCATCCGCGCCAGGCGATCCTGCTCCCTGCGTCTCATCTGCCGGTACTGCGCAGGCCGAAATATCGATACTCTGGGGCCAAAAACAAAGAAAAATCGCGCTTACCTGGTGGAAATCTCCCGAGCCAGACCCAGCGGAGCTCCCAGATGTGTTGCTGATGCGCACGGGAACTTGCTCCGTGATCCGCCGGAGCTTAATCTCGAGGTCTTCGTCCTCGGCCGGGATCTCTGGGATCGCCGGCTCCGAGGCTGGGACCAGCGCCTTGCCATCGCCTCTAGTGCTGGCGAGTGTCACTACCTGGGTGTTGCCCTCTGTGTAGGTCTGGGACGTCGTGTACCGCGGCATTCGCCCAAGAACCCTAAAATCCCCAAACGATAAAAGGTCACGGTTTCGAATCCCAATAAAAAAGTAGAATCGCTAATGAATATACTTAAGCTGGACTTAGAACAAGTATATCCCACAGACTTCTATTTCTCGTGGGTCATGAAAGAAGGTCCAGGGAAGGTGAGAAGTGGGACCAAATACTTTGACAAACTTTTGAATAGCTGTAGAAGAGATCTTTCTAGTGGACATGACAAGTTTCCTCATGGACTATTTAAACAGGTTTGAGTGAAGAGAAAAGGTAGTCTAGTGCATGATCATGCTTTTGAATTGCTATCTCTTGATCGTCTTGTTTGCCATTTTCGCGGCAGCAGAGGCAAATTCATCCAAGAGTGACTCCAGCGTGCTCTTAAGACTGAAGAGCTCTGTGCATGATCCATACAAGGTACTTTCGAGCTGGGGATCTAATCGGAGTGTTTGCAAGTGGGAGGGCGTGAGTTGCTCAAAGAAAGATCGAGTTTCTGGTCTTTATCTCCAGAATTTGACACTCTCAGGTTCTATTCTATCTTTTATGATCCAGGAATTGCCTTTTCTCCGCCAGCTTCATGTCTCGAGAAGCAGCTTCAAAGACGAGCTTATTGCCAACACGAAATCAAATATGTCATGCTTGCTGGAATGGATGGATCTTTCTGGCAACCAAAACATGTCTTCCAGTTTTAATCTAGTCCAAGAGCTCCTGATGGGCTGCAAGAATTTAAAGGTCTTCAACTTATCAGGCAATCATCTTGGTGGAGGGTTTCATCACATTGACTCTAAATTTTCAATTGGTGACAAGTTGGAAGTGCTGGATCTCTCAGATAACAAGTTGGGTTTCAATCTTCCTTCCTCTTTTTTCCTTAGATGCAGGAGCTTAAAATCTCTAGATCTTTCCACCAATAGCTTTACAGGAGAGATTCCAGAGACACTATTCAGAAGGTGTACTGCTTTGGAGCAAATTTCATTGGCTCACAACAATTTCTCCAGTTATCTTCCTTCACTTATTTCTCTGCCATATCTAAAGATCATTGATGCCAGCTACAATGCCTTCAAAGGTCAGGTCCCTGCATTCAGGACAAATCTCAGGCATCTAAATCTCAGCTCCAATAGTTTTACTATCACCAGCAATGAAACTTGTCCATTGACATCAAAACTGGAGAGCTTGATTTTGGTGAACAACGAACTGCATGGACGAGTGCTGGACACCCTGAAGCTTTGCAATGCCTTGAAGATGTTGGATCTAAGTTTCAACTCAGTGACTGGACAGATACCAGAGAATATTTGTGACATTCTTCCCAAGCTTGAATACTTTCTTGCATGGGTGAACAACCTTGAAGGGGGCATTCCATCAAATCTTATGGCGTGCAACAACCTGACAATGATCATTCTCAGCTACAACAATCTTGAAGGAAACATCCCTGCAGAGCTAGTCTCTAGCTTGATCAAGCTCCAGTGGTTAAGCTTGAGCAACAACAAGCTAATTGGAGAGATTCCTTCATTGGAAAATGCAAAAGAGATGCTTGTCTTGCAACTGAGCAACAATTCATTACAAGGGAAAGTTCCAAGCAGGATGGGCATGCAAGTGATAGAGCTCCGAAAAAACAAGCTCACTGGAAACATTCCTCCTATTTTAGGATTCACTAGGAAGACATTTGTGAAAGCAACTCTTGACAGCTTGAAAACAGCCATAGACACTAAAGCAGGGATTTGCATGGACACCACCTTTGCTATACAGGGCATCAGCTTGGACAAAATGAAAGAGCTTTTAAAAATTAAAAGTGGAGGATGCTTTCCTAATGTAAATTTGCTTCCAGCTCTCACTTATGGATACAACATCAGTAGTCCTCTTCATATTGATATTTCACATAACAATCTTTATGGAGAGATTCCATCCCAGTTGAGCGAAATGCAAGACTTACAATACCTCAACTTTGGGCACAATGATATATCAGGGGTAATACCAGCAGCACTAGGAGTGCTTAAGAATATGGCAGTTTTGGATCTTTCTCATAACAACTTGCAAGGGGAGATTCCATATACATTTTTGTTACTTTCTTCCTTATCAGCATTGAACCTTTGCTGCAACAACTTATCTGGGATTATTCCACAAGGTGGTCAACTGACAACACTTAAACCAAGTAGCTTTGAAGGAAATGAATATCTATGTGGCTTTCCTCTTAGTGCTTGTAGACCACCAAATTCTCTTGATAATATTGACAATAGTAATATCGGAGGTGGCAAAGTCGGGATTGTTCTGATTGCTTCTGGCTTTGGAATGTTTGGATTTGTTTTGAGCTTTACAATTGTTATTTTTGTTGACATGAGGAAAAAGCTGGTATACCAAACATTATCTAAAGTAGAACAAATAATAATATCATAATATGATTTTTATGTTTTGAGGACTATAACTTTGACACATCATATTACAAACTAAGCAAATTCTTCTATACTAATTAGAGAAGCTTAATGAAAATTCTAAACTATCAATTTTTCACATTTACTTTCAAAATTATAATACTCTAAAAAATTTGCAGATTCTCAACACAGAATCTAATCAAGATTTGGATTTGGATTGTGAACGCACCGCATGTCTCTAATGGGCTAGCACAACCCCTTTACATTCCCACCTAAACTTGTGTAACTCAATCTTACAGATAATCTAGATGTTTGTTCCAACCCAATATTTCAATAAAGAAAAATTTAATGTTCATTTTACTCCAATCCATCCACTATGACTGTAATTTTGGATCCATCCATTACAGATGTATATTTATCATACATACCCAAATAGGTGGGAACTTCTTGAAGATATACTACCTAAATCAATAAAAATATATCCAGAGTTAATTCACCACTACTAGAGGCTTACTCATGTTAACACCTTGATTTTCTTGCCTAGGCAAGAAAATTCAAAAACCTTAGCTCAAGGAATGAGTGGAATAGGGATGGGTATGTCTATGGGAATGGCTATGCATCAATTAAAAGAAATATTCTACCAGATACACTTAGTTAATTCAAATTCAAATAATTATAAAGTAACTATATTATCTTTCTGGGCCGCCAGATCCAGCCAATGGCACTATCAAAGGGTTATTGACTTAACCATGTCTTATCAAATAATTGCACTGATGTTTGCTTTTAGCAATAGGAGATAGTCAATTGCCTAATACAAGAAAGGAATGCGTTGGGACACATGTCATATGTAAAGTGT